GGTCTATATCTGCCATCTAATTTCTCACTTCAATTTTATTTCTTCTTTGTTCTTCCTTCTCTCCATTATTGCCTTTCGGTCATTTTTTGAGTAGGTATTTTTTCTCAAAATCTATTATTTTTTTCCTTTACTACATTAGACTGTATGCTCCCTATTCTATTCCCTTAAGATTAGTCTAGAAATTACAACACACATATATAACTGATCAACGTTGAAAATTAACCAGTATATTTATTCTCTTTGATCCTATGAGAATGCCAATTACTATTCTTCCTCATTTATACATTATTGTTTTTTGTTTTAATTCTATCTTGTGCCTTTAAACCTCACAAAACAATATTATTTGCTTTTAAAATATTAAAGTTCACTTAGATTTACTACATATTTACCACTTCTTTCATTATTCATCCCTCTCACCATGTATCACTTGGTATCACTTCTGCCTGAAATATATCTTTCAGATTTTCCCTTTATAAGGATCTACTGGTGGGAATATTTTTGCTGATTTAAGATGTCTTTTTTTTTACCCCTAATTCTAGATATTTGCTTTCACTTAGTATAGAATTCTAGGTTAGCCCTTATTTTCTTTTAACACATTTAACATGTATGCTCTTTGGCTTCTGCTGTTTCTACTGTTAATACTGAGAAGTTGTTACTTACTAATTGTTACTCCTAAATTTGAGGATTGGTGTTTTTATTTCCAAAAATATCCCAAACATTACTTATTACAATATTGTTTATATTCTAATTTCTCTTTCCTCTCTTTGGAACTCCAATTAGACGTATGTTGAAATTTCTTATGTTAATACTCCATGGTTTTTATATCTCTCTTTTATGGTTTCCTTCTCTTATTACCTCTGTTGTATATTCTAGAGAATTTCTTCTCTTCAATCTTGTAGTCCACTAATTTTCCTATTGTTCATCTAATTAACTGCTAAATGCATCCATTAAGTCATTCAGTTTTATTTTCAATTGTTCTGTCTTTTATTCTCAGATATTCTTTTTGGTTATTTTTCAAATCTGTTGGTCCTTTTTTATAGCTTCCTGTATTCTGAATATCTTTTCAAGTTTGTCTTCTTTCAAATATACTAAGTATTATAATTCAATAATATATGCCTGATAGCTCCAACAGTTGAAGTTTTTGCAGATTATTTCCTCTTTCTAGTGTTTTTATTTTGTTTTTGATTCTCTCATGGTCAGCTATTTCTTTTCCTTAGCCAGTTATTTGTAGGAATTCTCTCAGGTCTACGATTAGTGGGCCTTCATCCAAAGGACATTGGCATTTACTTCTGCAAGACACCCCTGGAAAAGAGAGAGGTCCAAATGGACTTACTTTATTATTTATGCCATAGCAAACAACACTAGCTCACATCCACTTTGGTTACTCCTGCTCTTCCAAGTTCCATGGGATAATGCAGAGGCAGGCTAAGGTAGGAGTCTTTGTTACATACATAAGAATCTTTGTCATAACTAAGGAACCTCAAAATTAAGAAACTCTTAATCTTTTAAAGATTTTAAAACCTGTCCAGTTTTGCCTGTAAGGAATTACTGTCTTTATATTCCTAGTCAAGAAAAAAAAAAATTATTCCCTCTAACTTCCAAAGATGTCTGCATTTCAAATACAGCTGACAAAACCTGCCAGTACCCTCAGTTCAGAAGACATAAAGTTAAAACAGAAATGTCTCACAACAGAAGGTAAGTTCCAATACCTAATCAGCCATATTAATGATAATAGAAAATTTCTTTCTAAAATATAATATATGCTATATATATGAAAGAAAACACGTAGTAACATGTAGTAACATACGTGTCTTAAAATAAGAAACAATCATGCATCCATCATCAGGCCAGAATTCTGAAGAAAAAAATATGTTCTGATAGAAAAGAAAGCAACCTCTTTGAATTCAACAATAATCACTTTTTGTTGTTCACAACGTTAAGCATCATTTATTTAGTCCTTACATTGTGCAGATTCTAGTGATAAAACCTTTAGAAAAGGACTTACCTTCAAATAATCGAATAAATGTACAAGTGAGCATTTAATTACAACAAAGGGAAGGAACATGGTTCTTTGAAAGTATAGTAAAAAATAAATAAATTTTAGACGAGGAGGTCTAAATAAATTTCGACTTAGACCAGCAAGGTGATGAGGTTATCAAGGAAGACTGCTCTGGGGAAGTGATGCTTCTGTCGAGAGCTATGGGCTAACTAACAAGCAAATATTAAGTCTTCACTTATTTTTCGGGAAATATACAACATCACAACATTGTTAAATGGAAGTTTCAAACTGGAAATTACAACAATTACCATATCCTCACTTTTTGAAAGTCAACATTTGATCATTTAGAATACTGTCCTATGATCATTGGTCCTGGGCACTTCATACTCAGTAATCTTTCTGATTATTCTCCCTCAACCACTCTCAAACACACAATGAGATCAACTTGCACTGAGCAGCATTTCCTCTTCAGACCAATGGGATAACATCCAAACTTTTTTTTTTTTTTAAAGATTTTATTTATTTATTGGCCAGAGAGAGAGAGAGCACAAGCAAGGGTGGGGGGAGGGCAGCAGACAGAGGGAGAAGCAGGCTCCCCACCTGCTTTTCCTTAGCCCTGTGGGACTCAATCCCAGGACCCAGGGATCATGACCTGAGCTAAAGGCAGACACTTAACTGAATGAGCCACCCAGGCATCCCAATATTCAAATTTAATATCTCATATTATAACCTATTCTGTAAGGCTAATCTTGTTTTATTTATTCTAATTTGATAATTTCATAATAAAAAGAGGGCACTGTGATGATTTAGTGAATACAATAACTTACTTAGTGTTTAAAAGCAAAGTGAAGTAAAAATCCAATAACAAAGACAAATACTATGCAATGTATAAAAGCAAAAATATAAATACCACAGAATCTGAGTAATATATAGGCATGCCTTAAAAACAAATCTTGTGTGTGTTCCAAAACAAATAAATATTCTTTAACTACTGTATTTTTTCTTTTGTTTGTTTCTTTAAAAAAAATCTACTTAGCTAATTTGGGCAGGTTATGTTGAGCCAAAGAATGACCTCAAAATCTTATATAGTTCAAATGACATAAAGATTTCTGTACAGAGAAAAATGGAATGTTTTACAATATATCCAAAAATAATTTGCATTTATAGAGATAATTAAAAACATTTACATGTATTTTTATTTTTTAAACTTTTAATCATTGGCTATTTTCACCTTATGAGGTATATGTTCCTGATACCTGCATGCTTTGGAAATACTGACTTGGGGCATCTGCATAGACAATTTGAGCCTAACAAAAAATAAGACAACCATTTGAATTGCTGTACAAGAGTAATGGCTCTTTGCAAGATGTTTCCTCTTTTTCTACCCAATAAAAATCTGGGTGCATTATATAATTTTTAGTGTATTAAGGGCCACAACATGTCATGAATCAGTGGGGAGGCTTGACAGATTTTGTGAATATCATTCTGCAACTGTTCTCTGGACCATACTTTCTCCTTTATATTACGAAGAGGAAAAGAGAATCAGGTAGCAGTTCTACACATTTGTTTTTATTAACCTAGTGCCAAAAGGAATAGGCAGTTAAATTAATAGCTATGCAGAGGAATGAAGTGTGTGGAAGAATCCATCTCTGTCTCATAATTTAATGTCATATAGAAAGGACATCCTGATGTTTGTCTAACTTTAATCACACTTCAACCAGGTTTTTATTTACATCCACATTTAATACTTTGCTATGTAATTATAAGTCTCAGAGTAGCTTTCAAAAATACAATTAGCATACAATCCCAAAGAATTTAAAATGGGAAAATCTGAGATAAAGAAAAATATGGTTGCACAAGTAGGAATGAAAAAAAAAATACTATGAGATTTCAAAGAGAGGACCCTATTATATACTAAACAATATCAACAACTCAAAATGAGTACAGTGACCTTCACAGAGAAGTTTCTTCTAATATCTCTTAGTATAGGATGATGACAACTCACCAAACAATTCAGTAACAAGGAACTGGGTAGGAAACCAGTGTGATCCACATAAACACAACTCTCTGAAGCTCTTGACAGGTACTTAAAATGTCTAGAGATATAGGTGGATCAGCTATGCTTAAGCAAATAAAGTTCTTTTCAATGTGGTTATGGCTATTAAGCAGTTCTTGGGTCCATAGTTTACTCTCTGGCAAGTATCTAAGACACAACTATATTTCTGATTATGTACACTGGCATGTGCATCAATAATCTGAGAAGACAGATATTTTCTTGGGTAAAGAAAGAAGTTTAACAAATGTAGTTCACTTCCGGAGTACTTAACACTGGCCAAAAAACATCATCAATAATTTAACTATTTGTAGAATGTAAGTTTTGTGTTCTACTGTACAGAATCCTAAAGCTCCATATACCAATAAAGGGGCACACAGATCATACCCAAATTCTTTTCAGGAAGGTATACACACCTAGAACTTTTCTATAAAGAAGAGTGTTCAGTAGAGACAGAACTCATGTATTTGACTTCAGTATTCTACACAGTAGACTATATAATCTTGAACGTCCATGCTTCTGTAAAAATAAGATATCCACGTCTATAATATATATAGAAAGATGCAATCAACAAATAAAGTAAGAACAGACTAGTAAGATTAATGTTTTCAGGACGGTGTCATGTTTGGATAAATTTCCAAATGTGGGAACTATAAATGGAGACACATACTGACTTAGTTTTATCATGAAACATATATTAAGAATATCAATAAAGAATGAAATGTATAATGTACTGAATGAGGGAAATATTCATTGTCCCAACATTTCTAGTTCTAAAAATATATCCCTCATATAGGCATACATTTTGTAGCCACTACCACAAAATACTCTGTAACAAACCATTCAGTCACTTAAAACGTGAAAAATTTAGGCCCCAGACACCAGACTGGAAGCACCAGGCTCGAACCCTAATTTCCTTGTCTAGCTTGAAACCCGGGTATCGCCAAGATCCCAGCTTACCACTCTTCTCTCATGGACCCTGACACCAAAATCATTGGAAACATGGCACTGTTGCCTATCAGAAGTCAGTTCAAAGGACCCATCCCTAGAGAGACAAAAGATATAGGCATTGTGGATGAAGCCATCTATTACTTCAAGGCCAATGTCTTCTTCAAAAACTGTAAGATTAAGAATGAAGCTAATAGAACCTTGATATATATAATTCTCTACACTTTTGATGAGTGTCTAAAGAATCTCCAAAAGTGCAATTCCAAAAGCCAAGGTGAAAAAGAAATGTATGCACTAGGAATCACTAATTTTCCCATTCCTAGAGAGCCTGGTTTTCGACTTAATGTAATTTATGCCACCCCAGCAAACAAACAGGAAGGTAAGGCGATAGGGGCCTACTTAAAGCAGTTGAGACAAGCAACTGGACAGAGATTTGTGACAAAGTTTTTGACCCTCAGAACGATAAACATAGCAAGTGGTGGACTTGTTTTGTAAAGAGACAGCTCATGAAAAAGAGACTTTCAGGACCTGGACAGTGAAAAGAGCCTGGACAGATATTTTCCACAGATGTGGGCAGCATTTTACAGCAAGATATACACAGTTCTTTGCCTTTATTTGATAAAGTTTTATACAGAAGAGAGAAGAGAGCATGTCCTCACTTGAAGAGCTCTTTAATAAGAATTTGTATGGGGGAGGGAAGAATGGGTAATTGAAGGATGATTTGAATTTTATGTAGTATTAAGCTGGTGCTTAATAAAAATAAGTAAGAATAAAGAAATTTCTGATGAAACAAGAATAATTTACTCTCATCCATTTGTTAACTGGTCTAGACTGAATTCATCTGAGCAGCTCTACTGATTAAAGACAAGGCTTAGTCATACATATGAGGGTCTTTGTCTGATGTAGCCTAGATCCAGCAACAGAACTCTGGCTTTGCTTCACATTTTCTTACCCTCTTTTCCTGAATCCAGAGTGTTAGTCTGGCCATATTCCTTCCAGGTTGATAACAGAAGCTCCAGAAAGCAAGCAAAAACATGCAGGACTTCCCAGGGCCTGGGCTGGGAATTGGCAAACAGCTACTTCTGACCATTCTATTGACTAAAGCAAGTCATATGGCTGAACCCAAAATCAAAGAGGGCCATGAAGATGAGAGGAAGAGAGTAAATATGTTTAAACAATTAACTAGTCAAATATAGTTAAATATAAAACATATTGCAGTTTGTTAACAAATACTTGAGATGTCTATCAATGTTAAAAATCCTATAAAATTAAATGTTTTCATATAATAAGCAAACTATACAACTATTTTAAAAAGTATTATTTTATAGGTTCTGATAACAAACACATAACAAACATATCTTAAAGAGAATAAAAGAAATGTGTAAACAGTGAAATAAGAATTATAAGCAAAAGATTTTCAATCCATTCTATCCTGTATCTGGGAAGAGATTTTAGTGGGGGACACTCCTAGAAAAGAAAGCAAGCATGTGTTCCTTCTCACAATCTCCCTGTAAGTATGCTGAAAGTATTTTTGCTGGCAGCAGATTCCTTTCCTTCCTTTTATCAGAATATACCTGGTTTTCAAAGACAGGTATGGTAAAAACTATAATCCATAAATATATTAGCCATGACTTCCTAGAAAGTGTCCCAAAAGCAGTATAACTATATGAGCATGTGTTAGCCTTCTAGGACTGCTATAACAAACTACCGGCTGAGTTGCTTAAAATAATATTAATTTATTTTCTCACAGATCTGGAGGCCAGAAGTCCATGATCACTGGTACCAGCAAATTCAGCCCCTGCTAAGAGGTCTCTTCCTAAGGTGTAGTTGGCTTCTCTCTTGCTGGATTCTCACAATATCTTTCCTCAGTGTGTGTATGCAGTGAGAGTTCTCTGGTGTCTTTTTTTTTTTTTTTCCTTTTCTTTTTTTCAGTGTTCTAAGATTCATTGTTTATGCACCACACCCAGTGCTCCATGCAATACGTGTCCTCCTTAATACCCACAACCAGGCTCAACCATACCCCCACTCCCCTCCCCTCCAAAACCCTCAGTTTGTTTCTCAGAGTCCACAGTCTCTCATGTTTCATCTCCCCCTCTGATTTACCCCAATTCACTTTTCCTTTCCTTCTCCTAATGTCCTCCATGTTATTTCTTATGCTCCACAAGTAAGTGAAACCATATAATTGACTTTCTCTGTTTAACCAATTTCACTCAGCATAATCTCCTCCAGTCCCATCCATGTTGATACAAAAGCTGGGTATTCATCCTTTCTGATGGCTAATATTCCATTGTATATATGACATCTTCTTTATCCATTTGTCTGTTGAAGGGCATCTTGGTTCTTTCCATAGTTTTGCAATTGTGGACATTGCTTCTATGAACATTGGGGTACAGATGGCCCTTCATTTCACTACATCTGTAGCTTTGGGGTAAATACCCAGTAATGCAATTGCAGGATCAGAGGGTAGCTCTGTTTTTAATTTCTTAAGGAATTTCCACACTGTTTTCCAAAATGGCTGCACCAACTTGTATTCCCACAAACAGTGTAAGAGGGTTCCCCTTTCTCCACATCCTCTCCAACACTTGTTGTTAACTGTCTTGTTAATGTTTGCCATTCTAACTGGTGTAAGCCGGTAACTCAATGTGATTTGGATTTGAATTTCCCTGATAGCTAATGATGATGAACATGTTTTCATGTTTCTGTTAGCCATTTCTAAGTCTTCTTTGGAGAAGTGTCTGTTCACAGCTTCTGCCCATTTTTTGACATGATTATCTGCTTTTTGGGTGTTGAGTTTGAGGAGTTCTTTATAGATCTTGGATATCAGCCCTTTTTCTGTAATGTTATTTGTGAATATCTTCTCCCATTCCATGTGTTGCCTCTCTGTCTTGTTGACTGTTTCCTTTGTTGTGCAGAACTTTTTATCTTGATGAAGTCCCACAAGTTCATTTTTGCTTTTTTTTTTTCCTTTGCCTGTGGAGACACGTTTTGAAAGAAGTTGCTGTGGCCAATGTTGAAGAAGTTACTGCCTACGTTCTCCTCTAGGATTTTGATAGATTCCTGCCTCACGTTGAGGTCTTTCATCCATTTCGAGTTTATCTTTGTGTATGATGTAAGAGAGTGGTCGAGTTTCATTCTTCTATACCATAAGATACCTTGGAATAAACCTAACCAAAGACGTAAAGGATCTGTACTTGAGGAACTACAGAACACTCATGAAAGGAACTGAAGAAGACACAAAAAGATGGAAAAGCATTCCATGCTCATGGATTGGAAGAATAAACATTGCTAAAATGTCTGTATGCCAGAGCAATCTATACTTTCAATGCCACCCTGAACAAAATTCCACCAGCATTTTTCAAAATGCTGGAACAAACAATCTTAATATTTGTATGGAAACAGAGGACTCCAAATCATTAAGGAAATGTTGAAAAAGAAAAACAAAGCTGGGGGCATCACATTACTTGATTTCAAACTTTACTACAATGCTGTGATCACCAAGACAGCATGGTACTGGCACAAAAACAGACACATAGACCAATGCAACAGAGTAGAGAGTCCAGATATGGACTCTCAACTCTATGGTCAAATAAACTTTGACAAAGCAGGAAAAAATATCCAGTGGAAAACAGACTCTGGTGTGTCTTATTGTAAAGACACTAAACCAACTGAATTAGGACCCCACCATTTTGACCTCATTCAAACTTAATTACTTCCTTATGAGGTCCCATCTCCAAATATAGCTATACTGAGGGCTAGCTTCAACATAAGAACTTGGAAAAGGCATTCAGGCCATGACAGATCATAAAATTAAGATTTTCCTGACTTAAAAAGCTCTTCCTAAGCGAAATACCAATATATACTTCATCTGTTAACCTGAGTCAGCATTTCTTCCAGTGAGAGAGCAAAGGGCTAAGGAATTATACTGGGGGAGCTGAACATCATCTTGCTTCCTGTGCCCCTTGCCTAATGAATAGTTAATAATGAGGTATACCCTGAGTAAGATCTTTTTTGTGTGTATATTTACTTGACAATAGAATCCTTTGCATTCTCTCCAGTGTATACAGTGTTTCAAGAACTCTGGAGGATTTTTAAGTAAAACAAATCAAATAATCAACAACATAGATTATGTATCATATTTCATCAGCTACTTAAAGACGTTTAAATTTACTAATGAGTAAATTCTAACATCAAAATTCAACTTCCCACAGAAAGCTTGTGCATAGTTAAAGGGCCTTGAAGAATTAATTTTAGTAATCTTAAATTAACAAAATTAAATTTATAACTTAAAAATTTAGTGTCTAGTACATAATAATTAAAAAGAAATAAGAACAGATGTAATTGAAAACAGATGTAATTGAAAAATAACAAAAAAATACATTGAGAAAAAAGAATCATTATGGTCATAATAATCTTCATTTTTATTAGATTTTACAATGCACGGCATGATATAAGCCCCTCCATTCATAAAATGACAGGGTTTGAATTATGTTTGTTATATTTATTCTCTCCTACTGTGGTATTTTGGAAAGTGCTAGTATCATAACCAGTGTTAATTAATAAATCATAATTCTCACTGTGTGATGCATTTCTTGACACATACACTAATTCCCAAGAAAAATATAAAAAATGTAAAATCTTGTCAAATCTGTAAGCTGGAACTTCTAATTAAAAATACTACAATATGTTCCATAATGGGAAGGTCTCCAAAAATCTCCGTACATAGGTTAGAAGGATGAAAAGCCGTGAAAAATTCTACTCTCTGCCACAGGAGGTATTTATAAAGATAAGCAGATCCATCAAACTAAAAAATAGAAGCTTATCTTTTAAACTGCCAAAACTTTTCAGCCCCTGAAAAGTCTTATTGGATCATATTAGCATTCACTAATTATTAGTCATTTATACTTCAAGTTTTTTATTAAATTTTTTTTCTTTAGCCCCCACAGAATATCTTTTTGAAATATTTTCTCAAAATATCATTCACCATAACCCAATGTACTAAATATAAAGCCCATTTTATGAATTGTTTAACTGAGAGTTCCCTTGACATATGCTTCCTCCCATCCATATCCTTTGTACGAATATAGCTTTTCAAACCAACAGATAATAAAACTATGTAACTTCTAGCTTATATCCCAAGACAAACAAACTGTGCAATTAATGAGCTCACTTTATAGACATCTTAAGTTATCTAGAATCTACTTTTATTAAAATTGGATTGTATACGTGCTAATCCATTTTATCAAAATTGGACTGTATATGTGTTACATGAAATATTTTTTTAAGTGCAAGCAAAACCAAGGTATAGACACAATTTTGCTTTAACATTTGGGTACAAAATATAGTTTGCACTGATATACAAGGAGACCACCTGGCTTGAGGGATGTGACTCAGAAACACAATTCTATGATTATCAATAGTAACAAAATAGGTGGCTATGGGGAAAGATTTTTAACCTATTAACAAGTCTCTATTACTTTCTTAACAATCCACAATAAGCCTATGATTTATTTACCAAAATAAACAAATTTATATACAAAAC